CCGATTTATCCTTGCGATTTCAAACCAAAACATGCAAGGTGTCAGAAATACCGGGTTGCCGGGATGGGTATTTTATAAACAATCACAGCTTGCTCTATGACCGGTACAATCGGCACACCTGCGGCAGATTGACAAAAAATATGACCCAAGATTGCTGTGTGGAGTGACCTACCCCTTGGACAAACTGCATTTATAGCTGAAGTACCCATACGATGAGCGGACACTCGTTTCACTCGAGCGAACTTTTCTGAATTTTAGATCAACAACAAGGGGTGGTCACTCTACACACTTATTTTGCGCCAACATTTTTCTCAGTGTACCTCAGTGTGCCACAGCTGTATTGGCAGTGCCAAGAAGAAGGGGCCTCCCTTAGCTCAGTCGGTAAAGGCACAGCTACAAAGCAAGACCATGCTGGACGTGGCTGGGTTCGATTCCCGGTCCGGTCTAGGAATTTTTCGGGTTGGAAAATTTCTCGACTTCCTTGGGCATAGAGTATGATCGTACTTGCCACACAATTAAAGGGTGTCCACGATGAAATTGCCACACACAAAATTGATTCGCAAAATTCGAGTTTTCATCCGATTGCCATCAAATTTTCAGGAATTGAGAAATAACTATTAAACTTCATTTTACCATTTACTCGTATTTTATTTACAGTCCATACGCAAATGCCCGCACCTTGGCCTTAACCCTGGCCATAAGATTCTGCACAACCTGTGAATCAACCGTTTTTTGCATGTAAACCCATACTTTCTTCAGTTCCTCGACTGTCTTCACTACCTTAGGTCGTTTAAGAAGGTGCTGCTTCATAATCGCCCAGTACTATGTACGATGGGGCGGAGCTCCGGAGTGTTGGGAGGGTTGAACATTTTCGGCACGAAATTGACCTTATTGTCCGCATACCATTTCAGCACGTCCTTGGAGTAGTGGCATGAGGCCAAATCCGGCCAGAAGATTGTTGGGACGTTGTGGGCCTTCAGGAGAGGAAGCAGCCGCTTCTGGAGGCACTCTTTTATGTACACCTGTCCGTTCATCGTGTCCTGGGTCACGAAAGGTGCACTCCGCTTCCCGCACGTGCAGATGGCTTGCCAAACCAGGAATTTCTTCGCAAATTTGGACATCTTCTGAGTGCGGACATGCTCCGGAACGCTGAACTTATCCTTGGCCGTGAAAAACAGGTTGCCGGGGATCTGTTTGAAGTCGGCCTTCACATATGTTTCGTCGTCCATGATGCAGCATTCAACTTTCGTCAGCATGTTGAGGTACAACTTCCTGGCACGGGTTTTGGCGGACTTGTTCTGCTTCTCGTCGCGATTAGGGGCCTTTTGTACCTTGAACGTTCGAAGCCCAGCCTTAGTTTTGGCCTTCTGGACAAAACTTCGGCTTAGGTGCAGCTTCTTAGCCACATCCCTAACGGAGGCGTTCGGATTTCGGTTGAAGGCCCCAACTACGCGGTTGTGATTTTTGGTGTTGTACGGAATACTTTTTCCTTCACTTCTGGGCTTCCGATCGGTGGTCAACCGTTCCTCGAACCGCTTAATCACTCGCGACACCGTGGAATTCGCGATTCCCAACGTTTTAGCGATGGAACGATGCGAGAGATCCTTGTTCTCGTGATGAATGCGCAAGATTTTATCACGCACGAGCTGTTCTTTCGACTCCATTTCCGCGAGTTTTGATCACAGGACTTTAAAACTTGCAGGATGTAAATAATGCACTATGAACTAAATCCACCCAAATTTTCATTAAATTCTACCCAACGGTTAAAAAGTTAGAGCAATTTCATAGTGTGGCAATTTCATCGTGGACACCCTTTATACTAATGCAAAAATGGTACAGGCATCGAAAACTCTCAATTAATAACTGTGGAAGTGCATCTAAAACACTAAGATGAGAGCACGCAATAAGCTAATATGCGATTAGCAATAAGCTTGAAATGCGAGGAAGAAGAAGAAGAAGTCATTGAACTGACTTTTGTTTGCTTGTGAATAATGCCTTGTTTGGCAACCCGGTATTTTAACAGCTCTTGTTTTTGTTTTGATTTTCAATGTTTTCAAAAACATCAATCTTCGGCGGAAGGCCGACCACGCACAGCGAACGTCAATCATTAGTCAACCAGCCCTTCTGGGAGCCGGCGGAGGAAACGGTTTTGCACTGAATTTGCCACCGTCCGAGTATCATCCGTCGGAAAACTGGAAACCAACACCGGCCGGAACACACGTCGGACTGATGAAGGACGCACTGCTGACCTGAAACGGATCAGTCAACTTCATTCAACCGGCACAGCAACAGGGCGCAGTGATACGGGTTCGATAACAACACAGCCAACACCGATAAGCTGTTCAATCTGTTCTTCCTGTATGGAAATGTTGTCAGAATAAAGTTCCTGAAGACCAAAGAGGGTACCGCCATTGTCTAGATGGGAGACGCCATCGCAGTCGAATGTACACCCTGCCGAACAATTCGATCAGCTTCAAGGTCTACAGCACCTCCAAGAACAATCACCACCACCTGTCGCAAGTGCGAATGTTACCGCTGAAATCGGAAATTTTCTCCTCCGGATTGGTCGAGTTCCCGAGCGTATCATGAAGTGCAACCACAGCACGATCGCAAATGCACAAAATTCCCGTTCATTATGAAGCTATGCTTTTCCTCCTCCAAGTATATGAACGGTGCGTGGAGCAACGAGAATATCTAAAACACGTCAACTTTCTTTTTCTGAGAAAAAAAAAGAATTCTCCTTTTTCTGGGTAGTTAATGTTATGATTCGTAATTATAATTTCTTATTGTGTTAGTTGAAAGCGCAAATAGGAAGGAGACGGTCCTCCATCATTATATGTTGGACGATGGAATGGTTGGCACCGCTGCATCGCTAGTTCGTGTAGCCATGGCCTGAAACCTCGGTCAGGTCAAGATACCGTTGTCAGCTGTTCTTCGTCTGGGAAGAAATGTGGATGTGGGTGTAACGATTTTGAGAATCCATGGCGAGAGTTGGTGGAGATTTACGGTTGTTTTGAAAATAATTTGATTATATTGCGTGGCAACATCAATAACAAATTTTGACACATGCATACTGCGTAAACACAGAAAAAATTCAGTGTTGCCAGTAACTTTAAAGATCATAAAAATTGTAACCATGGGTGCCAAACAGCGTCAATGACGACGCCCGGGTGTGCCCAAGTTTGATTTTAGCACACTGTGTAGAGTGACCAACCCCTTGATCAACAGTAAAGGCCCAAGCGCAATGACAGCGGAAGCGGAATGGCAGCAGCAGTGGAAAAGCCCGATCTGAGTAAGCCTACTTGTCGGATTGAAAACTAATTAGAACCTGGGTCTGGCGGACTCGTAATGGATCTCGAACCAATTTGAACTGTCAAAGTGGAACCATTTTTTACTGTTCTTATAAGAGCTCATATGGAAGAAACAGATAAGGAGTATTGTAATCTGAGTAAAACGTAGTTGTTATTATTTTTTGAAACATATTCATAGTTTTGATGAACTGGGGTTTCCGGATCAATCTCGCAAAAAAATCAACCACGCGCGGCGCAAGAAACGATCCTTCGGAAAGCGAAATAAACTTCTCTTCACCGGTGTACTTGCAGTGTAGCTGCAAAACTTTGCGTAACATCGCATTTTAACTGCTTAGGAACTTTTATGAAAACCAAATATTCCCCCTTATTCTGCGAGTCACGTGACTCTCTCTCACCGGTGAGGTGACAATTGTCACCTCGTGTGAGGTGACTCTCCATGTAAATCAAATGGAGAGTCACCTCACACGAGGTGACTATTGTCACCTCACCGGTGAGAGAGAGTCATGTGACTCGCAGAATAAGGGGGATTATTGATACAGTAGAAAACCGCAAAATTCGACACGCGCCAATCGATTTTACTCTCAATCTGTACATAAAACATAACGTCGGACATAGTGCGCTGTATTTGTACAATTATGCGCCATAATGCACACCATGTCCGACGCTTTGTTGTTGTACAGAACGAGAGTAAAATCGAAAGTCGGGTATGGGGTTTTCCGGTGTCAAACGCGACCGACAATAACAACGAACTACAACAGACTACAACTACCAATCGATATTTCAAGAGAGTCACTCACAATCTTGCACACATTTGCTTTGTTTATCAATTTGACAACCGTTCGAACAGAGTAAAGCTTGCTGCAATGCGTCTTGGATAGTGTCTGAAGCTGGCTGCGATTCGACTTCGCCAGACCCAGGTTAGAACCAAATCGACTTCGGTTAGGCATCTTGATGTCATTTGTAACAACTGTCAAACTTGCCGTTTCCGGGCCGCTTCCGCCCACATTGCATTTAGGCCTTTAGTATAGAATTAACTTAACTGCTGGTCATCAAAGCAACCGAAATCATTGCAGCACTACTGTGTCAGTACAAATAATTCCATGATTGCCGTTATGGTTCAGGAAAAACGGAAACATCTTGATAATCAGTCCAAATTTTCCTCGCAAACTAGTTTGAGCAAATTACGTGTCTACCCGCACGAAAGTGAGTCGTTGGTGTTCGTCGGTTTGAATTCCCCTGCACAAGAAATGGATGACCTGGATGATGTCACATCACTGGAAAAATCATCGGAGTGTTCGGAAGGAAATTCCAACCCGTGCGCTATGGATTGCTGTTCAACCGACAAGGAGATGCAATCTATGGAAAGCATCGATGCTCGGAAATTTTCAAATGGATCTTCAGTAAATGAAACAGATCCGAAAACTGCTGATGAGCTTAACGAAGTCAGTTTTTCGACCATGAACACGCCAGGATCGTCGCGGCAATCATCATGCGATCAAATCAAGAGTCACACGGAGAAATACGACTTCTATTCGTAGTTTTAAAATTGTTTGAATGTATTTAATAAAAACAGATTTTCTCGTTCGGACGCCTCAATATGCCTTGTTGATGAGTTCTTCATTTTAGCATTCATCTTCATTCGTCGTTCCCAGTAATTAATTGTGACAATTTATATTCTTACACTTTCAGGAGTGAGTTCCCATTGTCTATGAGCCAGTGGCATACGATCAAAATTTCAAGGACATCAAGATTGGCAGTATTGAAGGTAGCATATCTTTTTCCTACAAACATTCCTAGAAATCCCGTTTACATTTGTGAGCCAGCTTTCCGGACGGGACTTGAAGTGATTCAATTAAGTTTCTATTATGTAATTATGCTCCTATTCCTTCCTTGACCCGTTATGCTCGTCTCAAGAGGGTTAGCTTCACTCTGTTCCGGAGGGAGAAAAACAACAACGATCCATATCCTTTTCCATTTTCATTGCCAACCATTACCGCTCGGGAATGCCTGCACGGCCGTTGAATCTCGATCACATTTGAGTTCATTTTACTCAAATTTGGCAAACGAATCCGACTCATATATGAGTCCCGTTCATTCAAATTCGCAAAAGGTTAGTTAAGTCATAGGATGAGCGAATTTTTGCTCAAATATGAGTGACATTTCCTCAAATCGGGAAACATCTTATTCAGTCAATTAGTGACCGTCATTGTTGACAATTTGAGTAAACGGAACTCATATTTGAGTGCGATTCATCGGCCGTGTAGAGCAATCATCAAATCTTTTCCATCTCTGACGACGATGGTGACATGGGAAATGTTCACTTTTTCAAATAAGCTTCATTGTTTTATCAATTAAATCTTTCCACCCTTCCTGTCGTGTCCCATCCCGAACAACATTTCCAAGATTCCACATCCTCCAAATGGGGGTAAAATAAATGTATATTTTGTTTCCGCATTGCAGATCGATCAGCTGCCAGAAGTGATGACGGTCTCACCGAATGGATTCTGGCATCTCTCCCTACCGCACAGCTTGTATCTGGGCGGAGTGCACAACATCCACACGCTGCCGATGAGCCTCAGGGATAAAGGATCCTTCGCCGGATGTGTACAAAAGGTAAGCACGGCGTCGTCTGGTTTTCTGTGCTTCTTTTGCTTGATTTTTATTGCTTTGATAAATGTACTGTGAAGGAGCAGTAGAAAAGCATCTTCACCGAGGGTGGGTGGGAACATAAAAGACTGGGTCACTTGAAGGGCGGCGGCGGACAGGAACGTGGGATAAAACTGCTTGTTTTTCGTGTTCGCTTCTTCGAGACACATCTTGGGGATTTTATGACTTTGTTCCGGCGGATTGAACTCCCCGGCAGCAAATGCAATTATTCCGCATCACAAACCGCCAACAGAAGCTTTGACTGCGGTGAGGTGGCGTGCTGCCATACTAGCTCCTTCAGTGGGGGGAGCAACTTTAGGACACCCCGAACTGGACAGCACTGTTATCAAATTTGTTGCTCATTTTACGAGAGTTGGCCTAGTTTAATTTTCTGTAAAATGGCACCATTTCCCGTTTTTTAGTGTTCATTAGCAGTTACGAGTGGATAGATTAACAGTAAGCGGTTAGCAGCTGAGATTTGTTTCAAGCATCTGTTTTATGTTATATTTTAACGATGAGCATTTGATTCATGATGTAATCGTCAAAGATTGTGGTTCCAACGCTTTTTTGATGCTACGTGTAGTCAGAAAAATGTGTGCTTTTTTGGTAAGCACCCTGACAATACACTTGACAAAGTGAAAATTTAGGCAAATTACAAAATAAAAGATTACATTTTTTCAACTAAATAAGCCAACCTTACTGTTACCACTGCAAGTTTGTCATTGATCTTATAAAGATTTAAATAACCTAACATTTTGTCAAATTACTCATAAGCAGGGAATCAAACATCTCTCAAACTGTCAAAAAATCAAACGATCAACGAGCATTGTCAGTAACGGCAAGTAATAGGTTTTTATTTTTTTCATGAAAAACTCCGTCTGCAATAGAGTAAATGATCATATAGTTAGTACACACTAAAAAAATCTGAATTTTACTGGTGATGTAAACATCCATGCATGCAAACATTCATGCATGTAAACTTCCTTTTCACGTAAACTAGCAGCTTGCAAGAAATGTTGCAAACAAAGGTGGAAAGTTGCATACAATATATGGAATATTGCATGACATGTCTCATAAATTTACACGATTTATAAAGTAAATTTGTATGATTTATGAGGCTCCATTTATATGCATCATAGTAACGGAAATTTACACTAGTTTTTTTTTAGCTGTGTAGCGTTAGGTTCCTATATTTACTTATGAAGTCTTCATAAAAAACTACTGGATTCCTCTTTACCCTAGCATTTACCCTACAGCTTGACGGAAACGGTGGAAAGAAATAGTGAAATTGTTTGCAAGCTTTACACGCAAGTTTTTTTTTTTGTAATTTTACCATTCCGATCAAGCTATGTCGACAACCTCAATTGTTACAACAAAGATTACAAGCAATTTTATCGTTTTCCTTTTACCGTTATATTCAAGCTATATTATATAGAGGTTGGTAGTCGGCGCAAGTGTTTTATTTTAATTGTTGGTTTATCTCTCTCTGTTTTGATTCCCTGCTCATAAGAATGATGACTTACAAAATGGCTGATAGACCACGTGGAATTCTAATCAATGAACCGTTTAGTCAAGCTGCTGCATGCATTTTCCATCAGATTTCACTGCTGTTGTTTGCGATGTCATGTAGCGGAAATTACGCATAATCTGTTTTCCATTAGTTGTTCACCGAGGACAGTTCATTATAAAAACCCATAAATCCCTTTAACGGATAACAGAATAGAGCACCTGACACTGCAAATCATGTCCGACACTGGACCTGTTCGAATTTGGCCACAAAACCACAGAACCGTTCAATTTTGGCACGATGAAAATAAAGTATTGGAGCCTTTGATGAAGCTCCTAGCATCGGCGCAACCATCGGTTAGTAAGAAATTTACAACTGACAAGAGAGTGAGAGCGAGCTTTTGCGCTCTCTTTCTGCATTACTCTCTTTGCCTGCAAACAGATATCCAAGTGCACAGTGAGAAATGCACGCCTTAGGCACCCATACGTCACAATTGTTCTACTAATTTAAATTCACACATTCAAACCGGTATGCAAGTATGGAAGAAGTATTAGTTTGTTTACTAAAATGAACTTTGCCCATTTTGTTATGGCAAGTTTTGCTATAAGAAATGCTCCTCGTTTTTATTAGCGAAATTCACATCGTAGGTTGATTAATTGCATAGGAAATCTGTTTGGCGCGGCATTGGTGACCACCAGTCGTATGAAATAGGTCAAAAACTGTCCAAATCCACCCATAACATTTTTTGTTTTGAATTTCTGTATGGCAAACAAATGAACTTTTCGTGAACATTAACGGCAAAGAACTCACCAACACTGGGAAACCGTGAGCTTCTGCCCACCAGTGATAAAACCATCTCGTACCAGACTGCTGTATCCGTGTTGCTCCCGTTTGACGCGTGATACAGGAAATACGTAACGCTTTGGGCCATGATTGTCTTCATAAATGGCAAGCCCATAAAGTTAAATCAGCCGGCGTCGGTGGTGTAGTGGTAAGCGTGACTGCTTTCTCACGCCAATGGGTCTGGATTCAATCCCAGTCGAGGTCGGTGGGATTTTTCTAAGGCATAAAAATTCCTGGTCACGTCTTCACGGAAGGGAAGTACAGCCGTTGGTCCCGGCCCAAGGGTGTTGAATGGGTGCGATATCCTACGCAGGTGTGGAAGCTGCTTTCCTGCACATTCGATTGCCGTCAGTGAATTGCAATAAATGTCCGTCGGTGATTGGCACTAGATTGCGGAACACAGACCGACGTTAAATAAAGGAATGGATTAAGTTAGATCTGAGCTCCCGACATGTCTTAAAGCACTTCGTACCTAAATCCTGCGCTTGAAACAAAGCACATATAAACAGATAAATGGATTCTAGTGAGCTTATACTCTATGCACTACTCTATAGACAAAGTATGAATACGAAATTTCAACTTGTCAATGTTTGTAACACTTCAATTAATTCCTAGAAGAAATGGCTGTCAGCCTCTCTCAATAGTATAACATTTCATGAACTTAAACAGTGATCAATGATTGCTATGAGTAGGATCGTTTTTTTTTTTTTTTTATTGTGATCAGCTGCACTTTGCCCCGTTTGCCGTTTAACATTCAACACTGGCTCACGGTGGTCCAAAATCAACGAAATCGTAAATTAAATTTCAAAATAAAACCTTTCGATTTTGGAATGGATCAAGTTTAACAACACTAAATTTTTGGGCTAGCCGGCGCCGGTGATGTAGTGGTAAGCGTGACTGCTTTCTCACCCGAATGGGCCTGGGTTCAATCCCAGCCGAGATCGGTGCGATTTTTCTGAGGCATAAAAATATCTGGTCACGTCTTCCTTCGGAAGGGAAGTAAAGCCGTTGGTCCCGGCCCATGTATGTTGATCCTTCGCAGGTGTGGAAGCTGTCTTCCTGCATATTCGATTGCCGTCAATGGATAGCAATCGATGTCCGTCGGTGGCACTAGATTGGATTAAATAAAGGAATGAAGAAATTTTTGGGCTGTTTGTCAAATTTGAATGGATACTGTATATGTATTTAAATTTGCATCCGAAGTTCTTCCGTGTTTTTAATAATCGGTTCAAAAAATACTTTCTTAATCCCGCCTCTAACAGGATCTATCACCGTTTTTATGAATGGGCTGGGGCTTATAAAGTATGTTTTGTGCCAAGTATTAAAAAAGGAGATAATTCGGATGTTAATGTTAGGGCATAAATACAGCCATTCCATATCAAAACGATATAGTGGTTCTCAGAACCTCTAAAAATTGGTAGTTTTGTTCCTTATCGCAAAATATTGGACCCTTATTTTTTTTTATTTTGTCATTAGGGTTCCCATTTCCATGCACGGAAACTAAGTCTAAAAGCAGTGGACTCTCTTCTGTGTTTGTCTTAATAACCTCTGATTGTCCTCAATATGCCGCTGAATGAAGGGCAATAAACGGATTGAGTGGATCGATAGGCAAAATCGCCTATACGCATCTGTAGGACAATAAAGAATCGTCTTCCATCTACTTGATCGCACAATTGGTTAAAAAGACAAGCTTCCAAATAGAAAGATGCCCCAATGAGTGAGGAGAAGAGCCCGCCCTTTATCAACGAAATATTATTAACAGGGGGATGGCATTCCCACTCTCTCTGTCCAAATCGTATCAATCGGGTGCTCTGTTGGACCCTCCCTTCCCTTGTATATGTATTTAAATGTTTATGTTATGTAAATGTTATATCTAATGAATCATCGAGTCGATTTTTTATGATTATTGTCAATCATACTTACATTTCGATGAAGATGATGCTACCTATTTTACCTTTTATGTGATACTTATCATCACAGAATCCAACTTTGAATCGTAAACCAGTTCCATTAATCCCTAAAGTACCAGGACGAACCATTTTTTTTTCAACAAACTCGTTCTCAACAATGCCTCACCCGATTTTCATAAACCTGGATTTTTATTCAAGGGATATAGTTGAACTAACTTTTGTCATAGGTACCACCCCCTCGTTCTTGGTAGATGTAAATATGTCTGTGTTTTTTGTATTTTTTTAACCTGTTTGATCAAATGTTTAAAATTTTCACGTGAATCGGTTGTCTGGTGAGGTATGATTAGTAAGAATGAATTTAGATATGTCCATAACGTATGGCTACGATATTATCGGTTCCGGGAGTCCCGGAAATCGCTTCTGTAGGACATAGAAATATCTCAGGCAAAAGTATCTTGTGGCATGTCAAATCATGTCAAATAGGTCGTATCAAGTGAATGAAGATGATTTGAGATGATTTTGGCCAGTTTGGCATCGGTTACGGAGCGTGGTTCTGTCAATTCCGGTGAACGGTTTGTTGGAATATAATTACATTGAGGTTATGATATCATATTATGCCAAAATGACCAGCTATGATCAATGAAATCAGGTTGTAGTTTATCTAATGACATTTGGGCACATTGGCATCGGTTCCGGGAAAGCCGTGGAACTCGGTTTTATATCTCACAGTAACATTCGCGGTATATTAATCATATTGCATATCAAATCATGTTAGCATGATAAGATAAGGTCAATGAAGATTATGGTCACATTGGTATCGGTTCCGGGATTCCAGAATTCCATTTCATAGATTCCGCAATACGATACGGTAAGCTATAATCATATTCATGAAAACCATATCAAGTGGTGGTTCCAATCACGACAAAAAAGTAGATATGCCTAATGAAAACAGTTTGAGATGAATCCTGTGACAAATGGCCTCATTGATATCGGTTCCTGTGATCCTGAAACTCAGTTCTTTAGGCTATAGTCATACTTGAGGCAAATGAATCATACTGCATATCAAATCATAGGATATGCCCATGAACGATTATTTCAGATAATTTCATTGTCATATAGACACATTGGCATCTGTTCCAATGCCTCCAGTATCTGGTTCCATAAATTCTGGATTATGACTAGGAATTATATCAAGACCAACAATTGAAATAGGCAGAACAACCAAACGTCCTGAACATGCATCAAATGCGTTCCCACTGTTCCATGTTGCTATATTGAGATTACTACCATTGAAACAGCGCCATCTCAAAAGGCTCAGAATTTACGATGTTTTTGAACAGCAGAACAGTTTGGTAAAATTTTCGAATGTTTCACGTAAGAAATCAGTAAAATTGACAATTTGTATATTTAATATATAAATGGGGTAAACTGAACAAAGTCTATACAAGTTCGGGATAAATTTGCTATTTAACTGATTTTAAAACTTTTACCAAACAGAACAGTTGTACAAAATGTATCGAACGGTGGAGGCCTGGATTAGTGTGCACCCAGCAACGTCCTGTAGATAGAACAGAATTTGAACTGTAGCATCAAAACAAGATCAGAGATTATTGACTTCTGTAAAATAACGCCACAATTCACTCACTAGGTAGCGCTAGTGAATATAGAAATAGCTCGCTTTTGACTTTCACAGAATATTATCCTTCCGATCCTGTCTGAATAAAAATATTGTGTACGGCAGACCTTTTAGAAAAGATAAATTCAAAAATTTCTTACTTTGTGGCCTGCAACGTGAGCAGCAAATCCTGATTGATAATTTTCTGTTTTTTTTTCCCCATTCCCTTTCTTGGAATTTTTCTGGTTGTCCGATATACATTTTAATCATACATATAACCGAATTCGATAGATCCAAAAGAATCGCTAGGTTAAATGAGTAATTACAATGCACAGTGGTCCATAATGCAGATTTAGGTGGAATGATATGATTTGGGCCTGAAATTGAAACTTTAGACTTAATATCTCTTCTACAAAGTTGTTCCTTTTAGTTAGGCCCTCATTTTTATGACAATGAATTCTAGGGTGGTTCTTATTATCATTAAAATCAAAAATCTAACTTTTTTGTATGAATAAATTAAGGTATATATTCTTCGGCAAAGTTATAACTGAGCTAATTTCAAGCAACTTTGTTGAAAAAAACTTTAATGTATCGATTAAGAACTATTTTCTTGAATTGAATTAGGGTGTCCCTAAAAAAACGGCATTTTAAAGGGCGTATGTTATTCTCAATAATATTAAAAAAAATGCTATTTTTAAAACTCGTATAAAATCAGTTTGAATTTATTCATATTTTTACTATATTTGGGTATATCTTTTTTAGTAGAAGAGATACAGACAACAAATTTTGCTATAAAACATTCGCCTTAAAGAGTTTAAAAGTCTCTAGATGATGACTTTCATAAGAAATTTGAAATAAAAAGTTAGTGCTAAGAAACTTTTTTTTCCAGGAACACCCTTAGTCAACTCCGCTAAAACGAGAACGTTAAGAGATAGAAAAAAATTATTTCCTACAAAGTTGATTAAAATTAACTTAGCTACAGCTTTGCTTCTATTTTGAAAAACAAAAAAGTTAGTTTTAAAAATCTCCTAATTTGAAGACCACTCTGACGTTTGCAAACACCAAAAGAAGGGAATTTTTAAGCACAAAAACTTCTTCGAAGACACTAAATGTCCAAATATTGAAACAATTTATTGTACTAGCACATTTTATTTAAATTTGTCATTAGAGTGGTCCTATGCAAACCATATTTTGCCAATAACTTTTTTATTTGAAATTTTTCATGATAGTCATCCTCTAGAGACTTTTAAAACTCTTTAAGACAAATGTTTTATACCATAATTTGTTGTCTGTATCTCTTCAAATAAAGAAGATATACCGAAATATATTAAAAACGAGTTTTAAAACTAACACACCTCCAATTTTTTCATATTATTGAAAATAACATACGCCCTTTCAAATGCCGTAAAATAACTTTTTTTGTTTTCCCCAACCAGAGATATTAACATTTGAAAAGGGCATATTTTTAGTAGAAAAACGTCAAAAACTCTTGATCGACGAAAGATATTGACAAGCTTTGTGCAGCAAAAATTTGAAGACAACTTTGCTGAGAAATTCAAGATAAGAAAACTTAAGCAAAACAACTGTTTTTTTTTAGAGACACCCTAGCTCAATTCAAGAAAATTGCTCTAAATCGGTAAATTTAAGAGATACAAAAAAGTTTTTTTTCAACAAAGTTGCTTGAAATTAGCTCAGCTACAACTTTGCCGAAAAATATATATCTTAATTTATTCAAACAAAAAAGTTAGATTGTTGATTTTAATGATAAAAAGAACCAACCTAGAATTCATTGTCATAAAAATGAGGGCATAGCTATAAGAAACAACTTTGTTTAAGAGATATTTAGTCTAAAGTTTCAATTTCAGGCTCAAAACATATCATTCCACCTAAATATGCATTCTGGACCATAGTGCAATGACAGCAAAATTTTACCTTGTTTTAAGGGGCAACCACGTAATCGTAAACCATGACACATTAGAGGCGAGAGAGGAGTATCAACGGTTTAAACACATTTCCAAGTATTAGTATAGACGATTCGAATCAGAAATTTCCCGAAACTCTGCACAGTTTTATATTCGTCTCGAAATTTCCTTGTAATATTCGGAATTCCCATAAAAATCTTCTCAGGATTTCGATTCCCTTGGCTTAGACAAAATATTGTGGAACCATCCACAGAATTCAACACCCTAGAAACTTCCTTGAAATTTTAATCAAAACTCTCAGGAAATTCTTCTCATAACTTTTTTGCTATATTAATTTGAGATGGACTAGGTATCTTTTTCACAATCGTCATGGAATTTTCCTAAAAAAAAAACAATAAAGTCAATCCTTAACATTCCTGAGAATTCACCTGAAGCAGCTTTACAGGTTTACAGCTGACTTGAAGTCGATAATTCTATAACTCGATAGCCCCTTCAATATCGAGTTAATGAACATTACACCGAAAAGGTATTGTAAAACTTTATATCAACTGAAGCATCTTTCTTTACTTCTGGCAGGTGGACATCAACGACCGCACCATATCGATTATCTCGGAGGCGCTCGGTGGTTCGAACGTGGAAAACTGCCCGCACGCTTGCGTTGCCCGACCGTGTGGCCCCCTGGCCAAGTGTGTACCGAATCTGGATAGCTACGAGTGCCAGTGCAATCCACAGAATAAGCAGTGCAACCAGGCGGAAGAGCTGCCATCGGAAGTGATTGAACAGCGTCAGCGGGTGTTGAAGCTACATCAGGTGCACCATCAGGAGGAGGATCTTCTGGATGAGCAACAGGAAGACGATGAGGACACGGTTACGATGGCTTCTACTACCGTCGGTGTGGACGCTGGCGAATTGGTGAAGGTGATCACCGGCGACGGAGGCAGCGGAGGAGATGATTACTATTATTATGAGTACGATGATGAGGACGAAGGTGTTGACCGAGGGGGCAAGGACTTGGCTAATGAGGATAGTGGTCGGGTGAAAGATAATGAAAAAATAACCACTGGGGTGGAAAGGCAACCAGCGGAAGTCACCACGCAGACCAATGATGACGGTGAAGATTACCAAGATGGTGAGGGAAAGGGTCAAACTGTGGATGATAACACCAGCTCAAATGGGGACGATAACGACCAACATTATGATGACACCGATTATAACGTCCAGGATGACGATGTTGATGCTGACAACGACGACAACGATGATGATGATGAATATAAATATGATGGCACTGGTTTACAATCGTCTGTGAAGAATGTGGAGCATTTTTTAAACCGTCACAATATTCGACAAGCCAAGAAGCAGCAGGACAAAGCACGCCAGAAGCTCGTAGGTTATGACCGAAAGATAAAACTGCAAGGTGGCGGCAAAGAGCGGAAGATCTCTACCACAAACCACGACGATGATGGCACTGGAAAGACCACAGATGGTCCGCGAGAAGAAAGCGACAGTTACGGTGGCTCAGAAGATGGATATAATAAAGATTATGATCACAACGGTGACAGAATACCGTATCGTCCCGATTTGGCGAAAAAGGCGGAAAATGAGCAACAGCAAAGGGTGAGGGCTCATAGGAAGCAACCGGAACGGGACGCCGACATTGATGAAATATTAATCGAAGAGATGAATAGAATAATGAAAAATAAAGATGATGATTTTGAAAGTGATGACACAAACGAGGATGGCACCGGTGGGTGGGGCTTTGAAATGGATGACGAAGAAATAAGACACACGGGAACCCCAGTGGGTGGTAGCATCGTTGACGGCCAGCAGAACGCAGTGGATGATGATGATGATGATAAGGAAAACGATGTTGATGGCATTCGCGACGAGGCTGACGTTGATGGAAAGGAAAACAACCGACGTCGTGATAAAAATACAAACTTTAGTAGGGGTGCAACTCAAATAACATCCAGCAGCAGCAGCAGCAGCAGCAGCAGTAGTAGTAGTAGTAGTAGGAGTAGAAGTAGGAGTAGGAGTAGCAGTAGCAGCAGTGGAAGTACAAACAACGACCGACAACGCCAGAGGCACTCGGACGAGGAGGACGACGTGTCCCGTAGTGTCAAGTACAAGAATAAATACTTCAGACGGTATCAGGGAGCGTGCTTTACCGGCACGGAAAGCTTCTTTCATTACAGCGATGCGGAGACGATGCGACGGGTGATCAGCTACGAAATTGATCTGAACCTTCGGTTTAAAACGCACTCCACGAACGGTTTGATACTGTGGACGGGGCGGCACAGTGCACTCGAGGGGGATGATTTCCTGTCGCTGGGAATTGAAAATGGGTAAGTAATACGATATGTTATTTACACAGCTTCTGCCAATTGATGACAATAATTGTTGGAAGGATAAGACAGGGACACAGGTTGGAAAGCAGGGTTGTTTAACAATTTTCAATCGGTTTTCCTTTACCTATGATTCAGTTTTACCCGGTAAGCCTAGATCAAACAGTATAAGACTGATTCTTTTCAAATCGATGATTTTCCCCTTTTGTACCACTGTGCTCGGCTAGCCAGCAACGAGACGACGAAGTACGCTTGTCGATCGATTTCATCCCAACTGGGACTGATGTAGTATATAAAGGGTGTTACCATCAAAATTTGGTCAAACAGGAATGCGTGTAAATTGTTTAATATTTTATTAACAAATCAAATTATTTTTGATTTGTAAGTTCAATTATTATAAAACACATAAAAAATATTCAGCTAAGTTAAGACCCTATCAAAATTGCCGGGTCTTTCGTTTAACTGCTGCCATCGCTTCCAACCGTTTTTTTTGTGGTGTAATTCAGGTTCCGATTGGCGACGGCTAAATATTTTTCGATTGGGCGGAGCTCTGGCGTATTGGGAGGGTTCTTGCTCTTGGGCCCCACCTGCACGTTGTTGGTGGCATACCACTCCATGGCCTTATTTCCGTAATGGATGCCAATTCCATCCAAAACAGCACGGAACAATCGTATTGCTGCAGGAAACGCAGCAGACGTTTTTCCAGACACTCTTGTTTGCTTAAATATCCTGGTTGATGGGCCCGGTTACAACGAAAATGTCGCTTTTCAAGTCACAGGTACATATAGCCTGCCAAACTAGATATTTTTAGCGAACTTCGACAGTTTCAGTTTTGCTTGAAAATGAGTTGCCCAGAGCGTAAAATTATTGACTGCCTAGGCTGAGTGTGAAATCACTGCACTATTCAATCCATTGCTCTGTGCAGACCGTTTGTACCAAACGGTAAAGGACGAGGCAATAAAAGAGCCAACAAAAACATTCAGTCATTCACGAGCAGGCGACGCACACCGCTTGCCTTCGTTCACACAGCATGTAATTGAGTCATTTTTCCATAGAAAATGGACGCTCAGTCATTCAAAACAAACATTGGGTACCATAACGGTAGAATAAACGTGTTGACTTAGCTACTGACTGAGTGCTCGGCTGTCAGTGACTCGTTTACCACTCAATCATTCAGACTCTCACGAGGCAGTGAATGATGAGGCAGATGGCACTTCATATTCATATCAAAATGACTTAATGAACCTGACTGTTTTGCGCACTGGTGTTGCACCTTACCCCTTCCGATTGCCGCATAAAACTCCTGCCCAGGAAACCGTCTAAATTCTGCCTTGACGTAGGTGTCGTGCGAGTAGTTCGGATTTTTGCGTTGCTCGTGGAAAAATTTGATGCGTGACTCTGCTTGCTTGGATGGCATTGTGATAACTGAAGAACAATTGTCAAAATCAAAATAGAGGCACATACCTACAAAATGAGGGGTGTTCAGGTTTTTTGAATGCTCGAAAAGAAATGCGTCAAGTTTAAGTCGACCAAATTTTGATCGTAACACCCTTTGATATCTCGATTGAAGGCAGAGAAAGGCTATTATTTTTCCCTAATCCCAACGCTCAAACCTTCTTCTTTCGGCTTCCATCAGCAGCAGCTGTAGCAGCTCACACCTGCCCTGGTTTTTTTTTTCATTGCTCCAACATTGATAAGAAGCCATTCCGTGCCGCAGATACCACTTTATGATTCGCAAGTGAACGCGCACCGAGCATCATCCTCAGATATCGTGATTTGAATGATCAAATATTTAACTTTGGCTAACGAAGTGTAGAAATGAATCAGAGTTGCTGCTGGTGATTAAATGTTTGAAGTGAGATTGATTTACCCCGCGATTGGTTTAGAAGAAGACTGGAGAGTCGCAAATAGCGGCGAATAATTATGGCAATGAATGATTTTTTTTATGTGCTGTTCATCTTCACTTCCAGCTATCTCCATCTGCGATACAACCTGGGGTCAGGTGAGGTGAACATCAAATACAACTCGACCAAAATCAGCGACGGGCTGTGGCATCGTGTGAGAGCCTTGAGGTAAGAAAAACAAACAATTTCATTTTATGGGCCTGGGAGATCCGGACCGGATGTGCGATTTTTTTTTTCTCCTAGCTTATTTTTCACGTCGCTTCCGGTCACCGACGACGCAAGTAAACTCCCTCGCAAGAATGTGCAAAGATGAGAAAAATTATCATAAAAATAATCAGAAAAGAAAATGTCTTTCCAACCTTTTCCCCGGCGTGTGGTGTCAGGTCAGACTTCTATGGCTGCGAAGCGGCACGTGTGTCGTCGGGATTTTCGTTTACGGATTTGCTGTGGGCTACGATGGGATCAGGAATTTCGTTAAATTATAACAAAACATACTTTGCAGGAACATCTTGCCGGCATGAAAACACTTTCACCACTGGAGAGTCCCATTGAGTTATGCTATATATCTTACTTCTTTCGTTTGGCACCAAAAACACCACTTCGTAAATATTCCGGTTATCGTTCGAGGGAATCCATTCCAAGAAACCGCACTTAATTCTCGGCAAATCGGAAAATCGTACACCCAGCATAATCCACCCAACCCACAGTTTAACCGTGCTTCTATCCTAAGTGCTTCCGCGACCGCAGTGGATTTAATATTCAAATTCTGCTTTCGCACCACGACGTGCCTGGTGGTTTGCTTTCAGTAGTAGTGTTGGAAATTTCCCAGCACACCCCACCCATCAACCTACCTAGGTCTGGAAAACTAAAACTGAGAAACCATTTTCCCTCTAACGCCTTTTCCCGTCGACATTGAATCGATTGGCACCTGGATCCGGGTGGACTCATGCTCCATGTAGACATAAGAGGTACCGTGAAGCTTGCCACGTTTCGTGACGCGTTCCACGAGAAGAGACCACAGGATGTATGCACGTGGAGGGCGGGGTTCCGGGTATTGTTTTTTCTCTAACATGGAAAGCTATTTTCCATGAATTATAAATCAATCAATCAAGTGTGGGCTGGGGCAAGAGTATGGAGCACATTGGATATTCAGGAAAAGTCGACTACCAATCGGCGGTAATACGGTGGAAAGAAAAAAAATCGATACCTACCCCTGTTTGCCATTAGCGACCGATTCGAAACTTTGCTGTCCTTTCCTACTGGGTTGGGTTTACGTGTCGGGTATTTTCCGTTTCCTAACGATGTGTTTTGTTTTCCACAGGAACTCCCAGGATGGTACGCTGAAGGTGGACGGCGGAAAGCCTATCTCGCGAAGGTCCCCGGGCAAGCTGAGACAGCTCAACACAGACACCGGACTGTATGTCGGTGAGTGAAACTTTTTTTTTTTTTTTGTACCATATTTAACTTGCTATCCTATTAAAGCCGACAGTGGTATGCAAAAAAAAAGCGAATGTACCTAAACCAATATTCTACAAAAGCAGCTTGAACAATTCGATTACTTAACTCGCGTATGGAATGGTTGAAGATTTAAAGGAAATTGAAGTTATTGATCAAAAAGAAAACAAAAGTGTTCCGTTTTGGTTGTATCGTATGAATGTGCAGTCGAATTTATGATTATGCTACCTCATGTACTCACTCTCGAACACTAAAGCGTGTTTGCAAATTAGAGAAATGATTAATTTTCTTGATTGAATTTGTCATTTGATTCTGGCAGTTTCTAGCTGATTTTCTGATTGAAACCATTAAATCATCATTTGATCGAATTTCAGAGTTGCTCAAAATATCCAAAGTAATTTAAACATCTCAGACGAATTTGCTCGAAACGTTCAAAATTGTATTATTTATATCACATATCCCAAGTAACAGTTAAGATTTTATGAGGCTTCGGTAGGTTATAACTTAGACTTGTAGAATCCTATAAAATCTTTATTAAGCTTATTTAAAACGCATGATCAATGATTTTCTACCTGGTAACATAACACATTCAGTATTGCCTCAGTATATCTTCCACCGTGAACAGCGATTTCTCGTCAAAGTTTCTCGGATATCTGCACGGCTATGCCGGTGCCACGGTTGATCTTCGGATTTTAAATCTCACGGTACAGGCTGGGGGGAACTGTACGACGGATAACCGCTCAACCTTGATATACGACATGTGCGATTTCTTCAAAATGACAATTCTGAACACCGGGGAAGCAACACGAGTAGCCAAACCTCCAGCAAAAGTAAGCAGATTAGACCTCTCACTTTGTTCGAGTTCAGTATCGTTGGATTGCTCGTGGAAAGTAATTCAAGATCCCTGCGGTAGTGACCATTTGCCAATCAAAATTTCTATTGCCAATGGTTCATCTTCTACTCGTTCGGTCGACATCGCGTACGATCTTACGAAAAACATTGACTGGCGAAAATTCGCGACCGCGGTTCTTAATGCCAGTCAATCGGTTGACGTACTTCCTCCGCTGGACGAGTACTCCTTTCTCGCGCGTCTTATCATCGATTCTGCGCTGCGAGCACAGACGAAACGTGTTCCGGGAGTTTCCGTCCGCAAGCGACCTCCCACCCCGTGGTGGGATAAGGATTGCACCGACGCGAACAGCGAGAAGTCCACCGTGTTTAAACGCTTCCGCAAACACGCCAAGGTCGGGGATTTCGAGTGGTACTCCGACCTCGAGAAAACTTTTAAGGACTTAATTAAAGCAAAAAAACGCGGTTACTGGCGTCGGTTCGTCGATGGTTTGTCGCGAGAGACTTCCATGAGAACACTCTGGAATGTCGGCAGGAGAATGCGAAACGCGTCACCACCGGTTAACGAAGACGTGGAATACTCAGACAGTTGGATATTCAGCTTTAGTCTCATGTAACAATTCAGCTCCAGGAGTGGATAGAATCAAGTTCAACTTGCTAAAAAAAAGTCTCCCAGACGTCGCGAAGAGACGCTTGTTGAACTTATTCAATCAATTTCTGGAGCACAACATTGTTCTGGATGACTGGAGACAAGTAAGAAATATCGCCATTCGAAAACCCGGTAAACTCGCGTCAAATTATAACTCGTACCGTCCCATCGCGATGCTGTCCTGTATACGGAAATTGTTGGAGAAAATGATTCTTTTTCGTCTAGAAAAATGGGTCGAGTCGAATGGTGTACTTTCAGATACGCAATTTGGATTTTGGAGAGGCAAAGGAACGAGCGACTGTCTTGCGTTGCTTTCAACTGAAATTCAACTGGCCTATGCGCAAAAACAGCAAATGGGTTCAGTTTTCTTGGACATTAAGGGGGCTTTTGATTCTGTTTGTATCGACGTCCTTTCGGATAAACTCCATGATAGTGGGCTTTCACCAACTATTAACAACTATTTGAGCAACTTGTTGTCTGTGAAATATATGAGCTTCTCTCATGGAAACTCGACAAGTTCACGAATTAGTTGCATGTGTCTCCCCCAGGGCTCATGTTTAAATCCCCTTCTTTATAATGTTTGTGTATAAGACGGAACTGCAAGGACCATTGCAAGATACCTTAGACAATTTGTCTACTTGGGCTATGAAGCTGGGTATCGAATTCTCTCCGGAGAAAACTGATTTGGTTGTTTTTTCTAGGAAGCATCATCCTGCACAGTTACAGAACAATCACTCAAAGTATATCTTTCAAGTATTTAGGTGTCTGGTTCGATTCCAAAAGCACGTGGGGAAAACATATTGCGTACGTGAAACAAAATATGCCAACAAAGAATCAATTTTCTTCGTACAATTACCGGAACTTGGTGGGGAGCACCCCCGGAAGATCTGATCAGCGGTAGCTGCTGCTTTCAATCCGCGGCAAAAACACACATCCTGAAGCTGCAACGGGTTCAATACCGTTGCCTCCGAATTGCGCTTGGCTGTATGCACTCGACGCATACGATGAGCCTCGAAGTACTCGCGGGTGTTCTCCCACTGACAGATCATTTCGCGGAACTGTCCTTCCGGTTTCTTATCCGTTGTGAAGTAATGAATCCATTGGTAATAGAAAACTTTGAGAAGCTGCTCGACAGAAATCCTCAAACAAGATTCATGAGTCTCTATTGCGAGTACATGACGCTGGAGATTGGCCCTTCTTCATTCAATTCCAATTGTGTTTGCCTTCAAGACTTTTAAAGATTCTCTGTTTATTTTGATCTGACCATGTTGCAAGAAATCCGTGGAATACCAGATCACCATCGGTCGATGGTTGTTCCCTTAATTTTTGCAAACAAGTACCACCATGCCAGTAGCAATAGGAGTTTTTCACAGATATCCCAGACAACCAGAATGCACGTACATATATTCAAAGGTATTTTCGTGATATACAAACATATATACAAACGAACAGTTCGTATAGAATGCAAATAAATGGCTTATACGTACAAAAGTGGAGGCCATATACGTGCAGATTTTAAATTAATTTTAAACGAGTTGATTTAACATCATACACGATTTAATCTTCTTCTTCTTCTTCTTCTTCTTTTTCTTCTTCTTCTTGGTCTTCTTCTTCTTCTTCTTCTTCTTCACATTTCAAGCTTATTGCATATCGCATATTAGCTTATTGCGTGCTCTCACCTTAGTGTTCTAGATGCACTTCCACAGTTATTAATTGAGAGCTTTCGATGCCTGTACCATTTTTGCATTGGTATAATTGTGTAGCTAGTCCAATCATACTTCTATGCCCAGGGAAGTCGAGAAATTTTCCAACCCGAAAAATTCCTAGACCGGACCGGGAATTGAACCCAACCACCTGCAGCATGGTCTTGCTTTGTAGCTGCGCCTTTACCGACTGAGCTAAGGGAGGCCCACGATTTAATCTGTAATAACAAATTCATTTTGAAAAGTCTTATGATGTAATCCGATTTAATTTGGGATACAGTACGACGGAAAAATGAGTCATCGCATATAGGTCGGAAATTTGCATTCTATACGATTTAACCGATTTAACTTAAACATAATGCGAAGTATTCCATTCTTATATGCAATTTTGACTTAAACTGTAGCAATTTACGATACTGTGTGTACATTGTTATACGATTTCTGGTTGTCTGGGAGGTCAACTGTAAACGCTTCCACTGGATTTGGAGTATTCAACGAATATGTTGCGGAATTAGCAGCCATATTTTACGCAGTAGAGCAAATTGCCTCACTACCCTCTGACCATTTTTTCATTTATACGGATAGTCTTAGCTCATTGGAGACTATTCGTTCAATGAGGCCGATGAAGCACTCCTCGTATTTCCTGCCTGAAATACGATCTAAACTGAGTGCCTTATCTAACTGCTCCTAAACTTTCACCTTAGTTTGGGTCCCATCTCATTGCTCAATTCCGGGTAATGAGAAAGTGGACTCGCTAGCTAAGGTGGGCGCTATGTAAGGCGATATCGGCCTTTGCGGAATTTTTCTTAGTTACCCGTCAGCAAGTCCTCACCAACTGGCAACAAAAATGGAATGAGAGTGATCATTCTATTCTCCCACAGGTATTGAACAAGCCGTGGTTCAAAGGATTGGACATGAGGCGTGACTTTATACGTGTCATGTCAAGGTTCATGTCCAATAACTACTCGTTAGGCTCGCATTTCTTTCGAATCGGGCTCGCAGGCAGCAATTTGTGCGCTTGTGGTAGTGGTTATCACGAGATCGACCACGTGCTTTGGTCATGCACCCTCCATTGTGTTGCTAGATTCGAGTTATCCGTATCCCTTAGGGCCCGAGGAAAACAACCTTTGCGGCCCGTTGGAGCCATCTTGGCGAGCGAGATCTCGACTATTTAAAATTAATTTATGTGTTTTTTAATACGAATAGATCTCAAGATTTAGTAGTTAGTATCATCTCGTGTTCTCGAAGTTGTTAGCTCCTCGTCGGTGTACCCCCATGTTTGGCTTTATCGTCAGTATGTCGCTTAGTTCGAGATCAAGAGCACATTGCTCTCAAAACCCTGTGTTGTCAATCCCTTTCCTGACATCCAATTTCAATTGTTACCCCTAACCTCGACATAGCCGCGAGTAATCGGCCCCCGCTTTACTAACGTTAGTTTTATGTAAGTTTGTAATCTAAACACTGAATATCGGCTCCGCAAAGCTTTAGCAAATGAGCCTGGAAAAATAAACGCATTATAAAAAAACATAACAAATTAAAATTTCAAATCCTAGATCGTGTGTGTGTGTGTCTGTGTGTGTGTGTGTGTGTGTGTGTGTGTGTGTGTGTGTGTGTGTGTGTGTGTGTGTGTGTGTGTGTGTGTGTGTGTGTGTGTGTGTGTGTGTGTGTGTGTGTGTGTGTGTGTGTGTGTGTGTGTGTGTGTGTGTGTGTGTGTGTGTGTGTGTGTGTGTGTGTGTGTGTGTGTGTGTGTGTGTGTGTGTGTGTGTGTG